GACTAAAGCACCTAATTCACGCTATATTGACGTTATTCACGTAAGAGTGTTGCTTATTCACGCAACCAATATTATTTAGTCACCCAACCTGGTGTTTATTCATGCATATTGTTATTTGTTCACGCCATTGTAAAATTAAATTTTAGACGTTAAAATATATCAAAATGGATGTCATTGTGTAGATTATGATCTATGCAACATATTTTTACAGACTAATTGAGAATCCAAATTTAATTTCATAAAATATAATATAGCCAATACAAATTATTAGGGGGAAAAAGTCTGAATTTTCATTCACGTGAATAACTTACATTCTTATATGAATAAACATAGTATTACGTGAATACACATCAAATAGCGTGAATGAGCACAAAGTACATGAATAAATTGACATTAGCTATTTTGTCACCTAACGTGACAGGAAATATTTTCCAATTACAAATTCCATTAAATCATAACGGGGTGATCACCTTAATTACACGGACCTACGAAACGTATAGCAGGCGGATGCAGAGAGAAATTTGAGAGAATGGAGGGTCCCTCTCCCTCTCCCTCCCAAAACCAATGACGATTGTGAAATGGTTAGAGGTAAGTGCAGTCACGTTCGTTGCCACATAATCTAAATTGCAATCTTATATTATTATTATGACATTCTGATGCCTGCCACTGCCGCCTTGTGATCGTCAGTAGGCGACATTATCCAGTGCAAAACAACAAAAGAGTGGTGGTCGGTGATGACGATCGTCTTCCTCCTTCCTTCCTTCCATCTCCTTTTCCTTACCTTCTCCATTGTATTCTACTAAGTTAATAAATTCAAATATAAAAGCCTGGGAAGTGGGAAGGTGTCTTCGTGTTTGATTTGGAGTTCGCTTGTGGAAATGAGGCCAAGAGGTAAAATTCCAAGTAGCAAAAATCCAAACTGTTTTTAAAACAGCACAGTTGAGTCTGAGTGAGGTAGCTAGCCTGAACCGGCCGGATCAAACGCCTGAATGATTGAGCCACATATAGAGCGCTGAGAATTGGCGGTCTTGCCGTCTCCATTGTCAGGACCAAATTGTTTAATCACGATTAACTACAAACTAATATGACGAACTACAACTAATCCATACGACTAACCCTCCTGAACTTTGAATTGTCTAACCCTAAACCCATAAACAATGTAGCTTTTCTGAGTGCATGTTATATATGCATCAGTCTCATAGTCGTCGTCTTGATTATGCGTAATTCAGTTTAAAATAATTTCATTTTTATTAATACAACGAATAAAAAAATAGATAAATTGGATGGAAAATTTTCAGGTTTTACTTGTATTTTAGGGTTAGGGTTTAAAGGTTCAATGATTTAGCGTTTAGTGTAGTGCATGGATATCAGTAGTTCTTGATTACATCATTATATTAGACTAACGCTAACCATTAAAATTAAAAATTTGATGATCAATAATTACTTTTTTTAAGATTTGAGTGCATAGTACATACAAATCATTTTTGTGAATGCAGTTCACCGTCGACGTACTTATTGAATAAGTACAAGTTCTTGCTAGACTAATTGATTCCGTAGCTCTAGAAGAAGGAATTGTGTCCCTAAAACCAAATTAAATATCTGAGTGTGAACTGCATGTGAAGTCCAAAGAGTATTTTATATTATATAAAGCTCAATCCATGTTACTGTTGCCTATACTTTTGCTCTCATTGGTTTTTTTTATGCATATGTTTTCCCATTTTAAGATTTTGCAACTTCCACATAATTCATAGTTGTACTTTTTTTGCATGAGATATTTGGATTCGCACTTGTTCTAAAAAATATTTCTCAATTCGAGAGTTGTGAACTTATGATAATGTTGTAACTGTGGAAATAAATTTGCAACGGTGGTATCCACCCGAATCTGACTTAATCAGATAGGGTAAAATTCGAACTCGAGTGATTTTTAGTGGGCGTGAAAAAATTTGAATCCGAATATTACATCAATGGATGGGCATGATTTTCTCACTATGCAACCCAAATATGCTCGATTATACACATGCATATGTATTTTTTCTAGAAAGCTCATTATTTTTTCTATAACCTTGATATTTATTATACATATATAATATTTTCGTGCAGTTGTTTTGTTTTAACTAATTTTCTTCATTTTAGTGATTTTTATTGTCGTACGCAATGTCATTATACGAGTGAATGTTAACATGTTGGTTAGATTTATATATAAAGAAAAATTATTACCCATGGATAACACGTGAAAACCCGAATCATCGAGAATTGGCTTGATTTTAATTTTCTCCTCGATTCAATTGTGAGTATGAGTAAACCAAACTATTCTAGGTAGGATAATGGATATGCACTATCCGCCCCCAACACGATCTATTTCCATTCCTAATTTTCATTAATCCTTATATGTTATGTCATCGTATTAGACTCATGTTACCAATCAAACATCAAAATTAAATTTTTTGATAAATAAACTTCAAAATTAGATGTCTTAAGACTACTTTTAAAATTAGGTGAATAGTATTTACGCATTTTTGTAATGTAAGATGTAATGATGTTAGGTTATTAAAACAAAATAATACACACAAATGACTAACCAACAAAGTAAAAAATTAAAAATAAACCACAGGCCGTTGCAGAGCTCGGCCGCCACCTAGCTAGTATATATATATATATATATATATGAAGCTAATGCCTAATGTTCATCATTTCATGACCAAGTCCTTGTATACGCAAGTAAACTAAGTCCCACATTCTTACTATCAATCAGTTGACGGAACTTCTCACCAATTCACTTGGCTACGAGACTTGACTTCGGTGTCAAAAGTTAGGCACGACCAAGACCAACATTCATTCTCCCAGTTCGTGGGGGCCATGAAAAATACTCTTAACACACAGTCGTTTCTTTGTGCATATATATTACAGTCTTGCGCGCATAATCAAGATTGACTTAGATGACAGGTGTACTCGATCTACTATTCTACTTTCCCGCAGATTTTATCAGTACTAGCGAGCTACTTTGGTACAGTCTGACAGAAGTAGTACATATATATATATATATGCTTGCAATTGCAAATGCAAATGCGTCAGCTCACATGAAGAACCCACAGGCTGCCATATACATAGAGTTGAATAGCTAGCTACCTAATCTGGGGAGTAGAAAACAAGCCCAGTTATGTCAAGAATCATGACAATGCGACAGAAGTTGGTAAATATATGCACATAATCCTGATACGATTAAGAAAAAGGTAATTAACAGTTTTGTTTCGGGGAACTGCTGCATGTGCACTAGCTGTAGTATCCTTCTTGGCTGCTAACTCTTCATTGGAGACAAGTTGCAGCCAAGTGCATCTGGACAACCATCAAGACGATTAATTAAGATAACATATGACGATTATGATCATGCTCTTTCTGCCACTACACTTGCTGCAGACAGAGCTAGGGAGTAGTTTACTAAATGCAACTCACCACCATTTTTATATACATATACATATACATATTATTGTATTGTACCCAAGACGATTACAAACATTCCCACCATAAATAGAGTCACGATTCACGAATTAAAGATATAGCCAAACCAAACCAAATCAATGAATAAATAGCTAGAGGTTGATCATTTCTCTTGAATATATACTGCATGTGATGCTTTTTTGATGCAGTCGGTTCATCTGAATTATATTGCAAGGTAACAATGCTATCTATGTTAATCAATGTCTGATTCTGAGCTCCATTCCAACATGCCAAACCCACACACATTCAAAAGAATTCAAATTAAGTGTTGTCACAGTAGAGCAGACTGAAAAATACCAATTCCCAATAAGATACATACAACGTACCTATTGCCTATTGGTAGTGCAAGGCTAAATCCTTACAATTCATCCCTTTTCAATACATGCATCTCTATTCTCCAATTACACGATTTGAGAACTGGATCGTTAACTAACAAGCATAAGAGCTTTTTCCCCCTGCGTTAATCAATATACAATATTATTAGCTTTTACGTACACGCAGATAACACTTAGAGACGAGATCGAGATAAACCACTATTGAAGCAAAAACTAATTACCAACTCATAACAATTAGGGTTTGGATACCTTTGTTTGCACACGCTCTGACTAGCGACTAGCATGCTTAGGTGTTTGATGTAAATGTACTAAAATATCCCACACTTGTCTAGAATCACAAGTTTATGAATCAATATCGCCGTGTCTACGTCTCATTTCTAAATCATCATCAACAACACATGGGAAATTATGAACATAGTGTGGAGAAATGAAAAAGGAAGAAGCAGAAAAATTGTGGAGCAAATTCAGAGAGAGGAGTAAGAAAAAAAGAAGAAGTTATACTAAAGATTGTAGTCTCTAACTTTAATCTAGCGATTAGAAACACTCGGGAGGAGAAGAAGGAAAAGCGAAGATTGACCTTGATTTCTCTCCATCCTAGTAGCATATCACAAGGTAAAAAAAAAAAAAAAACGGTTTATCGTCGTTTTGAGGCACAAATTAGTGCTGACTAAGCATCACCGACGCCGAGCAATGCGCTAGAGCCACCTTGTGTGGTGCTTATGGCCAAAACAAGATGTTTTCTTTCTGCCTAACATCTAGACGAGATTAGACGAGTGTGTAGGCATGCTTTTTATAACCTATGGTTTGGACAATCATGATGAGTTAGTTTATTCAAGTTAGATTTACAGCCAAAATTGCCCGTAGGAATAGCCGTTGTGCCGTACAACAACCAACCATCCGAAGGAAGGTTCTTAAAATTGCCAAAAGAAGCTAGCGCTTTTTGATACGCCAAAATAATAAGTCATTTGGATTCAAATTTTGAGACTATAACTTGCAAATTAAGAGCGCAGATAGTAGGAAATGATATTAGGGATTGAGAATAATGTAATTTAGCCAAGGAAACAATAACATGGTGAAACAGAAGAACAAGAAGAGAAGAAGAGCAATTCATACCTTTGGATATAGCCAGTGAAGAATGGATCATTATCCGAACCAATAAACATCTATACATAACACTTTTAATGTTTATTGATTGATGCAAATAAAACCTTGCATATACACCACAAAACTATATCCACCCAGCCCCGCTTATTTATCTCCTGCTAAGTTCCTCATTATGATCAAGGCCAGCTGCAGCTAGCTAAAAGAAAGAGGAAGAAACCCAAAAAAAGGAAAGGCAAAACATGGAATAAAAAAAAACCCACATACATACACATAGTTCCTGTAGCTACCCATAATTCGACATATGGCATGGAGTTTGAACCACACCACCACAGTCGTCCATCGATGAAAACTAAATGAAGAAAGCAGCAGCCTTGTTTTGTCATCACACAAGAATATACTACTATAGCCAGCGTATGCTTACCCAGAGACGGCTTAGGGATCTTAATTTGATATGATTATTGTTTGTTTAGTATCGGCGGTCGTGACCAAGTCGTAGCTCCAGGTCCAACCCGCCGTCCCCTCCTCCAGCTTCCATCTCCCTGCTCTGGTGAGTACGAAGATCCGGTGAGGGCGGCAGCAGCATATTCCTCCTCCCCCGCCAGCTGTCCTCCCCGAACAGGTCCAAGTACGCCGGGGGCACCGCAGTAGTAATGACCGGGCCCGGGAAAAATGCGTGGGCCGCGGGCCGGGTCGGGTAGTGGTGGAGCGGGTACTGCTGCAGGGAGTTGTAGAAATGATGATAGTTGTTGTTGTTGTTGTTGGCGTCGTCGGCTGGTTTGGGGCGGCTGGTGGGCTTGTTCGTAGTGGCTCGATCCTTGCGGTGGATGTTCATGTGTCCACCCAAGGCCTGCGCGGTGGTGAAGCCTCGCTTGCAGAAGACGCACTCGTAGGATCGCCCCATGCCTGCGCCATCCTCGCCTTCCTCGCTCGAGCTCCTCCACTCCGATTCCCCTTCCATTCTATTATCGATCGCTAGCTAGCTTCCCAGTTTTCGTGCTGTTTTTTTAATGTGTGGGAGGTGATGGTTTAGGTTTATGGGGAGACGATGGTGGACGGGGGGATTAGGGATTTATATTGGGGTGGTTAAGACCAAAGCACTCAGAGTCGTAGATAGACAAGGTTGAGAGAGAGAGAGAGAGAGAGAGAGAGAGAGAGAGAGAGAGAGTGACAGGAGGGGCATGCAGGGTATAATAAAAATTAGGAAGGTGTCGAGGGTGAGAGAGACAAGGGACAAGGAAAGGACATGGACATTCCCCCCCTTTCTTTCAAATCAAAAAGGATTTGAAATTTGAAGTTATAACTTATAACTAACTATCTGCTGGTACCAATAATTCGAATTGTTAGAAAAAGTTGATTATGAATTATATGTTAATTTTTTTAATATGATTACGAGTGAAAACAAAACCTATGTCGAAAAAAGAAAGAGGAAAGAACGTCAGAGTCGGTGTTGACGTCTTTGGGAGGGAGCAAGAGAGATGAAAAGATACAGCTGAGCTTTTCTCTCATTTCTTACATCGATGAAATCATGAGTTAGGAAAATAATTCATTTTTAAGGGATTTTATCCATGTTTCATCCGCTCCATCAAGATGAAAGCTCAAATGGGGGCAAACTGACGAAACTTTATTGATCAGAACAATGAATGTTAAATACAATGAGTTCAGCCTTTAACATCGGCTGCAAATCATCCCACTAACCCCAGCTCCTTGATCTCAGCCCCATTACTCAACTAACAGCACTACTAATCAGTTGTTCTGCCTAACAACCTGCAACTAACCTTTAAATCTGGATTGGACTTAACTGACTCTAAATGAAACTCAAAGACCAAACTGAAATACTGACCCAAGACCTATCTGCTAGACACTAAGCCAAACGACAGTGTTTTGGCTCTCTTATTCAAATAGAAAGTTCCCGCTACTGGACTCCAATCCTTCTCCATCTCGGATTCGGATTCCAGCTCTTCTCCAGCCTGCACTTCAGCTCACAAATCCTCCCCTGAACTGAAGCCAGTTAGCATGCTTCAGTTCACTTCATCCCGGATCATCCTCACACCCTCCATTGCTGCAAAATCCACTACTCCAAGCTTGGCCCTTAGAAACTCAAAGGTTTCCAACTTGATTGCTTTAGTTAATATGTCTGCTGCTTGTTCCCCAGTACCACAGTGCACCATTTCAATTATTTCTTCATTAACCAAATCTCTGAGAAAATGGAAATGTACGTCGATGTGTTTACTTCTGCCATGAAGAACAGGATTCTTGTCCAGCTTGATTGTTGAGCTATTTTCATAATACACCCTTGTAGCTTCTTTAATACTGTTTTCCCAATCCATCTGCTCCAAATTCTCCTCAGCCAAACACATTGAGCAGCACTGTATGAGGCAGCCACAAATTCTGCTTCCGTGGTTGAGAGAGTAACCACTGGCTACTTCTTTGAAGCCCACGAAACAACTCCACCAGTCAGAAAGAAAGCATACCCACTTGTGCTTTTCCGATCATCTTGATCACCAGCATAGTCACTGTCAGTATACCCTACTAGACAACCTTCTTTGCTTCCCTTTTGATACAAGATCCCATACCCCAGTGTGCCTTTGAGATATCTCAGAACTCTCTTAGCTGCCAGCATGTGTTGCCTTGTTGGATTTTCCATAAAACGACTCAGCAGGCACACTGAATACATTATATCAGGTCGAGTGGCAGTTGCATAAAGCAAACTCCCAATCAACTGTTTGTATTCAGTTGGATTGACAAGTATGCCATCACCAGCCTTTGTTAGCTTCATACCAGGAGCAATAGGATTTCTAGCTGGATTGCATTCTAGCAGGTTGAACTTCTCCAAAATCTCTCTTGAATACTTCTGCTGTGAGATAAAAATGACTTTATCAGTTTGATTCACCTCCACCCCCAGGAAATACTTCATACGACCTAAGTCTGTCATCTCAAACTCCTTCTGCATCGAACTTTTGAACTCAGCAATCAATTCTGGACAGTTGCTTATGTAGATTATGTCATCTACATAAAGACTAACAAGCAGAATCTTCCCTTCGGTCCGTTTTATGAACAGTGTGTGTTCATAAGTGCTCCTTTCAAATCCACTGTTCTGGAAGTATGATTCAATTCTTGAGTACCAAGCTCTGGGAGCTTGTTTCAAAACATAGAGTGCCTTGTTGAGCTTGTATACTTTATTCTCCTCCCCAGCAACCTCAAAACCTTGAGGTTGCTCAACATAGACCTCTTCTATCAATTCCCCATTTAGGAAGGCACTCTTGACATCAAGCTGATAGACAATCAGTCCATGATGAGCAGCCAGTGCCAAGAGTGTTCTGATGGTGTCCCATCTTGCAACAGGGGCAAATACCTCTGCGTAATCAATACCAGCTCATTGAGAATACCCCTTAGCCACCAATCGAGCTCTGAATTTGTCCACTGAACCAGTCTCTGTCAATTTGGTTTTATATACCCATTTCAAACCAATAGGAACAACATTTGGTGGTGGTGTGGTCAAGGTCCAGGTCTGGTTCTTCTCAATGGCCCTCATTTCTTCCTTCATAGCCTCATTCCACTTGTCATCTTGTGCTGCCTCCTCATATGTTTGAGGATCACTGGTCACTACTGTCATTACCCACCAATCTGCATCTGAAAAATATGTGCAATCATATATATCCAGGTGAGCAGGTGGTTTTCTTACTCTGAGACCCAGTCCTGAATTTGGCAGTCCCAAGCTGTCTGTTTGGGCTTCAGTTTCTTTATCTTCTAATCCAGTATGAGTTCCAATAATAGGAGTTACTGGCTTAGGACTAGAGGTGTTTGGTTGAACTAGATCATCTTTAGTTTCCGAATCTTCTGCTCCATTGTCATCTTCAGTTTCTGAATCATAGAGTTCATCATCACTTCCTTCCCAGCTGAGTTGAGTCTGCACTGGTTCTTCATAAGGTTTCCACTCCCACCCTTTGGATTCATCAAACACAACATCTCTGCTGGTCACCACCTTCTTGGTAGAGGGGTTGTATAGCTTATAAGCCTTAGACTCCACTGAAAGTCCAAGAGTTGAGTCTGCACTGGTTCTTCATAGAGTAACATTGGACACTTTTGTTGTCCAGCTTCTTCCTCTGCAGGTATGAGATGTGAACAAAAGCAACACATCCAAATACCTTGAAGTGTGATACAAATGGGGCAGCTCCTGTCCACAACTCTTGAGGATTTTTTCCACCATTTGCAGCTGTTGGACTTCTATTCAGTACATGAGAAGTCCAGGCAACTGCTTCAGGCCAAAACACGGCAGGTACTTTTCTATCTTCAAGCATGCATCTTACCATATTCATCGTTGTTCTGTTCCTCCTCTCAGCAACTCTATTCTGCTGAGGAGTAAGAGTTGCTGTTAGCTGCCTTCTGACTCCTTCCTTATCACACAATTCTTTAAACTCATTAAGCATGAACTCCCCTCCCCTATCTGTTCTTAAACAGATCAAAGACAGACCTGTTTCCTTCTCTACTTGCACCTTAAACCTCTTAAACTGTTCTAAAGTTTCTGACTTTGCATGCAAGAAATATAGCCACATCTTCCTACTGTAATCATCAGTTAAGGTGAAGATGTACCTTTTACCTCCATTGGATGCTAGTGTGATTGGTCCACATAAGTCAGCATGCACCAGTTGAAGTTTTTGTGTAGCTCTCCAACTGCTTTTCTTTGGAAATGGATGTCTATGTTGTTTTCCAATCATACAAGTAGGATAAACTCCAACTTCTCCCTGGAGTGCTGGCAGGTCTTGAACCAACTTCTTTTTCTGCAGCTGAATGATTGCAGCAGTGCTCAAGTGCCCAAATCTTCTATGCAGAGTTCCAAGGAAGTGTCATTTGAGGTTCCAGTTTGCAGACACTGCACGTGATTACTGCTCCCTTCACCTGCTGGGCTAGCATGTATCACAAACATGCGATTTGACTTCATGGTTGTTTCCAGCAGTAAGCCCTTCCCATTATGATACACCTTGCATCCTCCATCTTTTATAACAAAGATCAGATTCTTCTCCTGGAGTTGGCTAACACTTAGAAAGTTTGTGTTTAGACCAGGTACATAGAATACCTCTTGAATAGTTAATGTGAACTGATCCATGTTGAACTTCACTATCCCTTTGCCTACTGCATCCAGTTTTGTATCATTTCCCAGCCTGACACTTCCTTTGAAGGTTGTATCCAAGTCTGTGAACCAACTTCTGTTTCTTGTCATATGGTTGTTGCAACCAGAATCCAGAAACCACCATCCTTCTTTCTTTGCTTTAACGACATCAGACCTCACAACCTCCACATGAGCCATGAGAAGCACATCTTCTTTCATGTCTCCACCAGTACTGCCTTGTTCATGAACTGCATTGGAGTAATTTGCTTGACCACTGTTGTACCAGCCTGGACACTCATACTGAAAGTGTCCCAACTTATGACATCTAAAACATTCCACATTGCTTTTGTTCCAGCCTCTTCCCCTGCCTCTTCCACGACTTTGGTAGAAGCCCCCTCTACCTAGACCTCTACCTCCTCTTCCACCAGATTCATAGTTCATTCTGAGGGCCTGCTCCTCCTCAAATCCAGTTTTCTTTTGAAACTTTTGCTCATGAACAACTAAGGAACTCTGCAGAGCATCTACTGACAGTGTTTCTATATCCTTGGATTCTTCTATGGAGCATACCATATAGTTGAATTTCTCAGTCAATGTTCTGAGAATTTTCTCAACTATGTGCACATCTGTCAGTTTATCTCCACAGTTCCTCATTGAATTAGCTATAACCATAACCCTACCAAAGTAGTCAGTAATGGTCTCACCTTCCTTCATTTCCAGCAACTCAAAACTCCTTCTCAAAGTCTGCAGTTGAGCCTTCTGCACTCTTGCACTCCCCTGGAACTTTGTTTTCATGGCATCCCACAGTTCTTTGGCTGTTCTCTTGTTGGTAATGGTCTTGAGAATCGTCCTGTCAATGGAATTGAAGAGGTAATTCTTTGCTTTCAGATCCTTCAGTTTGAGATCCTCTAGGCTCTTGGATTGAACAGCTGAGAGT